CCAAATCTTCTCCTCTAACATTTCTCTGAGGATTACAAGGTACAGAGGAATCATTTCTCCTACACAGGTGCGTTAGCAAGTACGTGTTCCGTTTGAAGTTGGCTCGATGAGAAATCGAAAGTAATTCAGGCCTATTCAGCTGTTGTTAATAGGGAACTTAAGCAAACCACGACGGCGACGGCAACGAGGACGTGGAAAAACAAAAGATCTAATTAGCAGAACAATAGCTCAGCACGTGCATTTTAAAACTTAGTACATTTCTCAGCCGTCCTTTGCAAAACGATAACGTGAAATCAGCAAAATTTGCGTCGTCTACGAACGGAAACCGCAACGGCCAATTATTGAAATTTCCAGTTGCAACTCAATGCTACTTTTATACGTTATGCTGAGGTTGAGTTGTGGCGCCGTATGAGATGGTACACACATGCAGGCATTTTCCAAATTCTAATTAAAAGTAGAAATTCATTTTTTAATCGACGTCTTCCCTGGCGTTGCCGTCCTGACTGCTTAAGGTCCCTAATATCGTTGATAAGACTGAATAAGGCGAAAATTTGAAACGCATCGTTACTAAGTCTAATACACAAAGAGGTAGTGACGATGCATTCTACGAGTACAAATCAATTAATCCCTGCACAGATTCTGCATAAGTATGCAGCGACACTGTTAGATCAACTATCGTTGCCGCTATCCTGTATCGATTCATGATCCAGGATCATCATGTTTTTTTCAGTTCTTCGATTATGCATCGACTGATCAATGCAGAGATGCATGAGATCGACAGCTTCACCGCCACAATACTAATGAAAGCAGCGACGGTTTTAGATCAACCACTAGGATCTATAATCGCAGCGAACTATCAAAACTTTATCGACGATCTTGTACCGATTAGTACGGATTCAAGATCATCAAATGATAAGGCAACCAAAATTCTCGAGTAACCGTTTTTTAAAATACATTCCACGATTTTACAGTTCTTATACCTGTGCACACAAGTTCTGATTGACTCCATTTTCCATTTCCGTTACATCTTCGTACTGTTAATCCCTTCGCTTCAAATCCTTCCTTACAAGAGAACCTGCATTCTGTGTTATTTATCATCTCTGCCGTATTATTGCTGCACCCCAGGAATACAGCATTGGTCGGTAACGGGCACGTGACAACTAGAAAAGTAAAATAAAGATTTTTTTTGTGTACGCCACTTTTCGTTCAAGCAACAAAATTTCCTGCTCAGACATTGTGTGATATGCTCATTTTTTTTTTGTTTATTTCTCATTTACTTTGCGATTAAGTAGAGGGGTAAAGTTTCTAAAGAAACTATGGCGTTGCGTCGGTGGGGAGTATAGTGAGGTGATTTTAAAGTTTTATCAGCTGAGTTGATATTATGAATTGGCCACCCTAAAGAACTTCTAAGATCTTTAGAGTGTTTCGTCAGATAGAATCTCTAATATCGCTGCGCTCGGTACATACGTCATAACCTCTAGGAAGTATTTTCCCGTTTACTCTTGGAAACCTACTTTGACAACCAAAGTCCTGTCCAGTCCAAGTTCCGTTGCGTTGACATCTTCTTACTTGAGAGCCAGATTTTATGTAGCCATCATTACACGAGAAATTACAAAGTGTACCGTAATACAATACATTCCTTAGACATCCAAGCTTTGTTCCATGGGACGGTGTTGGCAACACTGGACACGTGATCACTGCGATATAAAACAAAGGAAACTGTTACCAAATCAACCTGGAATAATTTTTGATTCAAAAGGGATCAGTTTAGACAAAGGGACCCGTAGACCATTCCGATTCTGATTGCAAACGAATCCTTTAATGCAACTCTCATAGGCAACTGGATCATCAGATAAATATTTACCGTCTAAGCTAGACTCAATTAAAAGAGTTAAACAAATTTGATTTTGACATGATTTGATTTTGTAAAACACGTGCCAAGAAATATTTAGCAATGTTAATAGCCTCTGTGTAGTATAAAGCAAACGATCGTTCAGCATGTCTTTGTAATATGTTTGGCCACCGTCTAGGACTTTAATTTGACCAGAAGGAAGTGAAGGAGAGAAAAACGT